TGACATCAAAAACGCATTCAATTCTGCCAGCTGGAAAGACATTATACAAGCCTGTAACTAAAAAGGTCCTGAATACCTTGTGAGGATACTGGAGGACTACCTCAGTGAGAGGAAAATAAACTACTCCAATGGTTAAGATTGAGGAAGACATGACGTGCGGGGTTCACAGGGATCAAGATTGGGCCCCTTCTTGTGGAAACCCTATATGATGATCTCCTGAATATCGAGCTCCCAAAGAACTCCTGCCTCATTGGCTACGCCGATGACACGCTATTATTTGCCCACAGTGACAATGTGGAACTTCTTGAAATGAAGACCACGAATCACTACGCAGGGTTAAAAGATGGCTGGACCAAAGAAATCTCCAATGGCTGTTGCCAAAACAGAAGCTGTATGATCACAAACCGGAGAGCATTCGCCCGGTGATCCGACTAGGGGAGGAACACATTGAATGGGAAACGGCATATTACATATCTGGGGGTGGGAAATCGATTCGCGGTTGAGCTTCGGACCCCATATTATAAAAACAGCAGGTAAAGCTGCAAAAACTGGGATCAAATCTCTCAACTAATGCTGAATTCAGGAGGCCCCAATGAAAGCAAAAGAAGATTAATATCTGCCGTAGTTCACTCAAGAATGCTGTATGCCGCCCCAGTTGTGGCTGAAGCACTAGCTAAAGAGTCTATCCGACGAAAGTTCGCACAGATCCAGAGAAGGATGGCTCTAAGGATAATCGCAGGATACCGCACGGTATTCTCCGACAGTGCAGCCTTAGTACTGGCCAGTGTCCCCCCAGTGGATCTTTAGCCCAGGAAAGGAGGACAACGTACCTGAGGGTGACAAGCAGATAAACAAAGCTCTGCCCAAAAGGCAATTAGATAACCGAAAGCGGAGCTGAGAAATCATCTTCTGCACCAGTGGCAAAGCCGATTGACGTAGAGAACAAAGGAAGATGGACACCACTCTTGTCCCCAACATCAAGACTGGATCAGCAGAAGCCATGGCACAATGGACTTCTATTTGACGCAAGCCTTCTCAGGGCATGGGAGCTTCCAAGCACATCTATACAGATTTAAAATCGCTGACAAACCGATATGCGCTCTAGCCATGAAGAAGACGACGACGCCAAGCACACCATATATAGCTGCAAAGCCTGGGAGGAAGAAAGAAGAAAATGCTTCAGCAAACTGCAACGGGATCTAACGCCTGCTAACACAGTCCAGACTATGCTGCAATCCAGTGACAACTGGAAGATAGTACGAGGACTTTATGGCTGATGTGCTAAAACGAAAATCTAGCACAATAAGCAGAAGAGCTAAAAACTAAAACAATAGCGACGCCTGAAGAGGAAGCTCATGCTCCCAGCCAATCTTCTGCGTGAAGTAATGTCTCAACGACGGTTCGCAGCAGTTGATACCACGGCTCACAGAAACGAGGAGGTTAGGTTTTAGTCGGTTTGCCATGCTGGAGAGTCAGACATACCCTCCTCACCGGCATGCGTAACGCATTCCCCTCCTCGCAAAAAATAATATAAAATAATAATATAATAATAATATAATAATAATAATAATAATCAATAATATTATTGAGTCACTATATACAATTACAATCGTGTATGCACGAGTCAAATAGATGCTTGGGTGGAGAGAGCGAAGTTATTATTACATTTCAGAAGCAAACAAGGGGCCATCTCAGCATTTGCTCAAAGGATCAGGAAAACTGAACAAAACCTATCGAGATGGGTCATTGGCCTAGAAATACAATACTTGTTACAGTTAGATTAACATATTATACTGTAGATAAATTATCTGCTAATAATTAATATTTCAATATGATATTTTAATGCTACTACTTATAATAATAATTACATTAATAATAATTACATCAATAATAATTACATTAATTAAATAATAACTATATAATACATAATAAATTACATGAATACATATCAAATATTTTTTGCAACTACATCCCAAATTTAACAAATAGTAGTACATTTCTATATTTATACTTGAAATGGTGAGGAGCAAGTTCGACCAGTTTTTTTCTCTTCTATTTCACAGGATGTGATATGCAGTTCTTTTTTCTTTGCTTCAGTTACAAACAGTTCACATGAAACAGAAAGTCCTAATGGAATAAGCAATTCTTTATGTTATTTATATTTTTTAAGGGGAAATGTAATTTGAAAATTCCTTTACACTAGTAGAACATTGTGTGTTTAACAGGAAAACTTTCAAATTTACTTTTAAGATGTATGAATTGTGTGTATGTCTTAGATATCATTGCCTAGTTTGTTGGTAAAGTGAATGCCCTCTATTCAGGTACTTTTTACATAAAGTGTAGTTTCAGAGTGGAGAACGTTGTAGTTACCCTTTTGACGGGTGTTGTAGTTATGTACATCAGAATTTAAAGTAAAAGTGGCTCTTGTTTTCCATGAGAATTATCTTTTGGAAGACCACTATTTCAAATATGTACATGCATGGTAGAGGAAGAATCCTTAGTTTATTAAACAAGGTTTGCAAGACTCCAGCTTATGAATGCTAGTCATTGTTCGACAGTATTCTTTTTTGGATAATGACATGTGCAAAGTGCTTTCAGGGGCATTTTCCCAGAATATTATTCCATATTTTAGGTGTGAGATGCCACATTTTCAAAATACATTGTTCGAAGTGTCTCAATGTTGGAAGCTTTGACCTGAGGTGTATAGGGCCATAGCAAAATTTGCTGAGCTTCTTGTTAAGATTTGAGATCTGAGTGTTCCATTTTAGGTTTTCTTGAATTGCTTAGTCCGAGGAAGTTAGTTTCATGAGATATCGTTACAGGTTATTGTTTATGAGCAAATGCTTATGAGAGTGTTTTCTTTTTAGATCGAGGATTCACGAAATTTAGAGAAGACTGTTTCTTGCTGGTTTTATGAGAGTTGGTTTGTCTTATACCATTTTACTAGCTGCTGCGCAACGTTTTGGAGTTTCTTTGTTCTAAATGATTGTTTTTGTGTTTTTTTGGCTTTTGATTTTGGATGATGTTTGTGTCATCTGCAAACAAAAATTATTTTGTTGTCCTTAAAGCCAAAGGCATGTCATTTATGTATATAAGGAATAGTATTGGCCCAAGATGGATCCTTGCGGGACTCCGCAATTTATTATTTGAGGACAGGAGTAGTATGAGGAGATTTTGTTTCTTTAGTGTGTTGCGAGGGCAACTTTTGTTCTTACGGTTTGATAATATGTTTGGATCCATGGCTGCAATGCCTCGAATCCTAGCATTTTCTAGTTTTTTAAAGTTATATGATGGTAATGATGTCAAGCTTTTGACAATCTATGAAAAGGCCAATGGAATTTCCTGTCTATTTAGCTGGCAACAAGTATGTCATTTAAAAAGGAGAAGATGGCTGTGTGTGTGGATCTATTACTCCTGAAGCCATGTTGTGCATTTGTAAGGACATTATTTGCATTGATTTTAATTTATTTGTTTAATTTATAATTTTAAACAACAGATTTCATTTGGTAAAAAAAACCCTCTGTTAATACTGTAGGTCCTAGTTTTTCTAAATTCTTTTTTTGAAATTCTTTAAACTGTATAGTTCACAAAAATTGGATCAGCGTCGTTTTTAAAACTGTATTTTGCTCTATTAGAGAAAAAAGCTGGAGCAGTTTGTGATAAATAAAAAATGAAAAATTGTCTTTATTTTATGCTTTAAGCGAAAACTACTCATACTTTAGAAAAAAAATTGTACTAGACCTTATTTAAAGAGCTGTCTTTGAAGAACAGATTTCGTTAAGATAACATCTTCAATATTGTATTAGTAGGAAGACACCGAAAATGCGACCTGCGCCATTTTAAGCGTCTTTTGCTGCTCGACCTGCGCCATTGTTTTTAAAAAACTGGAGCCATTTTTGGGAAAAATTGAAAATGTTATTAAGGCTTCATGTAAAGTACCCCCAAAATCAAAATATTCGTTCCAAATTTGCAGGACCTCGCCATCGTTCGGCCAGATTGATGAGAGAACCACAATTTCGAATGAAATCGTCTGAACGGTTTAGGCTTTAACATGGGACATAGACGGGCAGAAACGTTTTGATGTCAGACAATTTTTCGGTACCACAAAACATGGATTCCGAGTACACAACGTGTACTCAGAAGTTATTTACTACATATAGAATCAAGATTTCTCCACTTTTTCGGTATCAGGGCCCTATAATACGACTTCTTCTGTTGAAAATTCGCCATGTTTGCTGCAGCATTACAATACTTTCTCTAAGTATTAAAAAAGAAAAGTGATTTGTGTAGTGGACTGCAAAGCGTCTTCCTCGCACTTGTACTTTTACCAGGGGGAATTCATCCCGGAGTGAGCACCTGGGCGCTAGCCTCTCTTCGCCCTCCCCCTCCGCACAGACTTACAAGGATGCTCTTCGGCTGGTATCTGGAAACCGCCAGAACGCATTTCACCCTCTCGGTAACCGCCCCGTACAATGCGCCGGGAACTAGTCCCTCCTCTTTGCTCAAAGTATCGGGCCACAGCCACGACGAAGCCAAGAGCCCAATGTGGGGCCTCCTTCCCGTCTCCCCACAGCCCCCAAGATAGAGGCTATTGACATGAGAATCGCCAGAAACTAGGCAACCCGACAGTGGGATATCTGGTCTCCGTCGGACTTCTATATGTGAAGCATTTCGAAGAACGTCCTTCGCCCGATCCTGGCCAAAGGGCGACGCGCTAGGGGCCCAACCGGAGGGTTGCGGGGCAAGGCCCGTCCACACGGATCTTAGCATCGCCTCCACTGCCCCTACCTCGAAGCTAACGGCATGAGTGCCGCTGTGAAACAAAGGATCCGGGTGGTCGTCTACAACTCTCCACCAGAGATCGCGACCGCGTCTGCGTAGGCTGCCATCGATCCGACGGCGTCAAAGACACCCGCACAATTCGAATGGCGCAGACGCGGCGTAAAGTCAGGCGTTCTGCGCGTCCAGACTAAGAAAGACAGAAGAACGTGTGGGGGTACCTTGACGTCCTTGAGCGAGAGGACGGGTTGCAGGCGGGGCAGGGCCACGGTGTGTCCCTGCGGGTCCTCCACGCCCACCTCGGCGTTCTCGCCGGCCACGGCCACCGTGAACTCGTCCAGGCTGCGGTCCACCAGCAGCGAGTGCTCCTCGCGGGAGCCCGCGGGCCTCGTCACCGACAGCAGGTTCACGCGCCGCGACTGCAGCGACAGCTTCACGAACTTCAGCACCTGCCGCGCACGGGACACGCATTAGACCAGGCACGCCGCACCGCGCACGCACGCTCCTCGGGGCACGCGCAACTTCCCCTCACTCCGCACTCATTTCCCCTTCAAACATAGAAAGGGGTGTACATACGCAAGCTGGAGCGGCGCGAGGCGGTGAATAGTGGCTTCATACCAAAATATTGCCAATTTTTTTCTGTCAAATAATCGAAAATTGTATAATGTTTATATTCTTCACTACTTATTACCATTTTATATTTTATTATAAAATTCTCTCTTATCTTTGCTATATAACCGGACTATGTTTAACTGTTACGAACAATAATACACGATTTGCTTGCGCATTTCAAAGTCGACACGTGGAGGATTCGGCCTTCGGTCCACGCGAATAACATAAAACATCCTTACGTCCATTAATCCACCCTAGGTGAAATAATCCGCTTTTTGTTTAGCTGTTTGTCAAAAAATACGGCAAAAGTCGCATGACAAATACGAATTGTGTCTACAGAGACATCTTCAGGAACTTCATTCAGCATCTTCAGCAGCCCACAGAATGATTAAATGATTAATTAAAACAAGTAAGGTACCATTACACTATGATTCTACTTCAAGAACACATTTATGCATTAAATAAAATAAGTACTAACACTAAACATATGCCACTGAGTTAATATATTTAGATAATTAATATAATTAGATAATTATGAAACAGATAATATGTCAAATTTTCGCAGTCAATAAGGCAATAAAACGAATCTTCTGCGAGATCAAGTTACTTACTTCTTCCACCTCAGTTTTATTTAAATGAAAAACTTGACCGGAACTGGTATCAGCAATCTTTTCGTACACTTTGTATCGTTCGTTTTTTCTATCTCCGCAATCCCCCGTCAGTACAAACACCACCTGCCAAGAAAACGAATTCACATTATCATTAACATGACAAAATTTAATCAGAAAAAACACATTGCAGGGTTTTGAATGCAAACCTAGATGAATTGTAGAATTCAGATAATTAAGTTATCTCTTATAGAAATGAAATACTCGTACTATGGCGACTACTGGATAAAGTAAACAATTCCTGTTTCAAAACTGTTTTTATACCATTAAGTACTACGGTGATTCATGAAAACATAAATGGCAAAATATTTCAACAAGTTAATGAAGTAACCAAGAAATATTTTTAAATTTCTTATTACTCTTAAATTACTTAATTTAAACAATTTCATTTTATTTATATTGTTTAAAAATATTAAAAACATGTGGGTCAATGATATATTTTGATCGCATTTTGTCTAGTTTGCCTCAATTCTCAGAGCAAATGCTGATATAGGCTCTTTCTTTACGTCTGATAACGTTTAGCTCACCCCTTAATCTCAGATTTAAATTAGAACTGTTTTTACCACGGATGATGGTTTCTGCAGTGATCTTATAGCAAAAGCAGTTTACTGCTGGGGATCTAACGATCTCCCATTTCAGTCATAAACGTTTGTCCGCTCCTTTCGCTGTACAAGCAACTTGGAGCTGGGGGCAGCTTTATCACCACACTCCCCTCTGGTTAGCGAACAGAGATATTGACTGGGTGATGAAAGGCTTTACAATTAAATCAGAGACGAATCTACTGCTTGAAGTTCTTATATATATGCCGCAAATGCGTAACATGGGATCAACCGGCTTTAATTTCCCCTTCGTAGAAAGATGTACGAAGAAAGTTTTTGTTCTTAAAAAATCCACGACTTGAACGAGTTCAAACCTGCTAACCCGGTTGAACAGTTCAAAATGTTAACCGTTACAAAAGCGTTCGAAATCTCCTCACAAATGATTCAAATATAGAAATAAAACAATTAAAAATATCAAAGTATATAATCTGCGCCGATCTGGAAGGCCGAGATGACTAGAGCGAGTGCCGACTCGGTGAGAAGGGTCGCAGGAACGAGTCCCGCCGGGGGCAAACTTGTTTATCCTTTGTCTTTCATGTATGACTGTTGTTGCGGAAGGCCTTGCAAGTCTGCTGACCACAGAACGATGATAAGTTGTAAAGGTCTAGTGTAAAGGTTAATATGTGTCCCCATGAGGGCCATAGTGGGTACCTGGCGCGGATAGTCGTAATCAGCATTCCCTGAAGCTGGACTCCCCCCCCTCTTCAGAAAAAAGTATATAATGTGAGAGTTGCGTCGTACTTGACTCTTTTTGCGTTGAACCAGCGACACGACGTCTTGCAGGAGGTCCGTGTCCTTGGCGCTGGCGTCGGTAAACACGTAAATGAAGGAGCGCGGCAGCGAGGCCTCCAGAGCCATCTTGATGCCGGCCAGCGCCATCTCGGGGCAGTCGCCGCCCGCGTGCACAGTGATGGCCTTCAGGCTGTTGTTGAACAGGGTGTGGTTGGTGGTGACAGTCAACGGACCGACCTCTGCAACAGACACATGAAATAAAATAATTAACTCTGCCGATCCTGCAAGGAATACATGGGCTAACTAGTGACCTACAACATTACACATTTTCTCCTTTTATGTGTAACAATTTGTAATATTACAGTTTGAATATTACTAATTATTCAATCATCTTTTCTTTTCAGCATGCGAAGAGCGGGAGATTCGAATCCTCAGTTTTCGAAATTAAAATTTATTGAAACGATATTCGAGCGAAAAATTTAAACAAAAGGTTTGCCCATTATGAGGTTTGAATAGTTGTTGTTCACATAAACCGACGACAACACCTGAAGAGAGAGTCCCCTTATTACGGGAAGAAAGAAGAAATAAATATTTACCCGAAAACATTTTACAAGTTTGAGGAAATTCATAAGAGATCATTTGAAGCATTTGTATACAAATATTCATTGAATTATAAATTAGAACTGCGAGGGAAATATTAATATGCGAGATGTTTCAAAACGTATGTGTGATTTTGGAAAAGTCAAAAGGTTTAAACAAAATAGCAACTGAGTACGTGGTTTAGTGCAAGTACTCTATTTAAACAAAAAAGTTAAATAACAAATTTAAGCCCTTTTAAACATTTTTATTGTCTGTCTTGAAAAATTGCTAGGATTTTACTAGTATAATATAACGACCAACATTAAAAAAAAAACTACGTGAAGTCATTCAAAGTGCTAATGTATTATAATAGATTGCATTTGAAAATAAATCTCTCTCTTCAATAATGTAGTTTTAGGAGGAGGTCCAAGAAATAAGAACTTTTGTATTTTAAGAAAAAATAGAGGTTTTATTTTGTATTTTTTAAATGTCAAAAACAGTTAAAATCTCCGCGTAACATACCGTGGTAAACAGTGTATTCTGTGCACGTTTTCCTAAATTTTGAGATACCTGGTCTCATCCATATACTGCAAGTTGAATTACGAATACAGGTAGAAACAAACGTTTTTCTGTGTAATAGAAACTACTTGCAAAGGCAAATAATATTTCATATTTTGGCTACTATCTCTGATCTTGCTAACTCTGAAGGAATCGACTTATTGCCGCAAGAACGTGGAGAACGATAATTTGAAAAAACTACATCCCCTACTGGAAACGTCCCCGGACAGTGAAGTTGCTTTTATGTCCAGAAGAAAAACAAGGGACCAAATCAGCATTCGCTCAAAAGATCACGGATACTTGAAGAAAAACCTGATCGAGAGGGCGGTTATGGGCCTAGAAGCTGAGGTACAATACTTGTTTAGGCACATTTTGTCTTTTAGAATTATACAAGAAGCATGCGAGAGGTATTATTCGTACACCAGATTATTTGCCACAACTCAGGCACGAATGAACATTCAAGAAATATACACCACGAGCAGAATGAAGGATGACTGACTTTGAACAAATTTTGAACGCGTAGGATATTGTGTTTAAATTGATATTCCATTCGAGTTTACACTAAATTGAATGACCCAAAGAAGTTGTTACCATAACATCAGTTATTGCACATCTTATCAATTCCACATGGAATATACAGTTGTTTATTTGAAAAGTAAAACTGCATTGAAACCGTTTTCCCTTCGTTTACTATTAATTTATTACGAAACGAATTTGAAAACGTGATATTGTATTAATTACTGTTTCTTTATTGCAAAGAATATTCGTATCATCCATAAAAAAACTGTTTTTCTGTTTCGAATCAGCGAGGGCATATTGTGTACGTATAATAAGAAGAGAATAGCGCCCAAAATCGAACCTTGCGGGAAGAAAATAAAATATGGCTAAAATCCATGTTGGCAATCTGGAAAACGAAGCGTTTTTACCGAGAAAGGTTTTGGTAGAGACTAAGAAAAGTACATAAAAAATTATCTCAAAATTCTTTGAAACAATTGACAAAAGAGAAATCGTACGTTTACATTTTTGAAAAGTGCCTTAATCTTAGATGTTTTGAAATTATCTGGAAATGTTCCGGTGCATAATGCGTTAAATGAGTTAGCGGGTGCATAATGGCAGACGAAAATGTCTTTTGTGTCTCAGTGTCGTCATTTAGGATTGCGTGATTTGCCCGTAAGGTTACTGGACAAGAACTTTCGCTTTCACGTGACATCCGCGAAGATGATGCATTTGAAAATACCCAACCTGGAAAAGTTAGCCCCCGCCGGATGGGAATGCAACCCGCTAGACTCTCCTGTGTTACGCACCAGCCCCTTTCTTAACCAATGAATGCATGGTAGAGCCAGGCAAGATAACTAGTGAACGCACAAGAAGGTTTGGAAAAAGCAGTCCAGGTCATTTATCATGCCACTCGCAGTAGCAGAGAAGAGACAGCTTGGTTGCAATTACGTCAGTCCGTGAGGAAGCTGCAAAAGGGACTTCGTAGCAACAGTTCCTCCTCATGCTTTTCATTTTGACTCTTACAAGTTTCGAATCAATTTTTCAGCTATACACGGCTTGCTTTAGTACGCTCTATTGTACTTTTTACAGGTATGAATTCATTGCCTTGTGATGAACGTACCTTCGGAACTGTTTCATTTTTTATTACCCAATTATCTCGAAGGAATGGAAATATATTTAATTTATTCTTACGACAAAATCTTCATGAGACCAGTGTTGTATGGTAGCGAGTGCTGGGCTTTAGCAAAGAAGGACGAAGAGAACATCAGAATCTTCGAGAGCCCTTGTAGAAAGTTAACCGTCTATAGACACGATGGTGTTAGAAGGAGGCGAGATGGAAGACATGCGAATGGCTGGGGTCACAGTTTGGAGGCGAGCTAGAGAGAGAGAGAGAGAGAGAGGAGAGAGAGAGAGAGAGAGAGAGAGAGAGGAGAGAGAAGGAGAGAGATGAGAGAGGAGAGAGAGAAGGAGAGAGAGAGGGAGAGAGAGAGAGAGAGAGGAGAGAGAGGAGAGGAGGAGAGAGAGGAGAGAGAGGGAGAGAGGAGAGAGAGAGAGAGAGAGGAGAGAGAGGAGAGGAGGAGAGAGAGAAGAGGAGAGAGAGGAGAGAGGAGAGAGGAGAGGTGGAGGAGAGAGAGAGGAGAGAGAAGAGAGGAGAGGTGAGAGAGACGAGAGAGAAAGAGGAGAGAGAGAGAGAGATGAAGAAGAGAGGAGAGAGAGAGAGAGAGAGAGAGAAGGGAATGGAAGAACGTGGTTAAGATGGTTATGGCCTGAAGTGGGCGGTACGAGAACCTGTTAAGGCCTAGCTGTATCCGTAGAACCTGATAAGTAAGGCCCGGAGGTGTATGAAAAATCATATTTTTAATTATGAGTTTTATTATAGGCTAATTATCAAATTCTACAAAACACAATCAAACGAACAGAAATTGTGTCCTTTTATATACAGCATATTAATGCATATTTAGTGCATTTTTGTTAATGCATCACATTTCCATTATATTTAAGTTATTATTAATATTTTATTCCTTTTTTCTTAATGTTGGATATTTCTCTTGGAATTTCAATATACGAGTAATATGCATATTTGTCTCCTCAAACCGAAAAGTGTACAACAAATGTGAATACGAACGCTATTCATGAGAAATCGTGGGAATGACTGTCGTTCGTTGCAGCAGTATTTGTCTGAACTTCTTTTAGATGATATCATGGTGTTGGTACTCGGAAACTGTTTGACCGATTATTAACTATGTGTTACTTTATTTTGATAAATAATTTGTGGCATTGGCATCGACTATGGTACAGACGAAATCATTATATTCGACTTTAAAAATTATTGCTGAAATACTAAGTGGAGGCAAAAAAATGCAAAATTAATTGGTGAAATGAAACGTTTTGTAATAATTGTTCGCAAATAAATAAAACTGTTAATTGTTAGAGAATTTTACATTAGTTCTGGCGCATATTTTTTCTAAAATTCATAATTTTATACATTATTTAATATTTGTTGGAGCATACTTGCATACTTATTTCTCCTTTAACTCCCGAGCCTTACTGATAAGAAGAAATATATATTGTATGTAAGCAATTCTAATTTCATTTTTGCATATTTTGGTGCACACAGTCCTCCCCCCTCTCCAGCTGAGTCTGTTTTCTTCACGTGAAGTCACTTTTGCACTTACACCAGTCACCTCCATCTATCGCACCGATATGAGTGACTCCTTATCGGTCATTGTATACCCGTATACTATACGGGACAAGCGTAACCCATCCATAGCTCATGACCTCATCACGGCGTCCTGTGTTAGACGAAGGGCGTCAGGCCAAGCGTAGATGGCCTGGGCCGTGGCCCGAAACGTCACGCTCCCGGTCTTATCCTTTCCCACTCCACGCGAAAGGAACTAAGGTAAGGGCGAATGTTCAAGGCTGATAAAGGGCTTGCACACCGTGTCAAAACATACAAAGCCCATGCCTAACAGAGGCTTCAACCCCACAGCCCAGATGTAGTGCGTACTCAAGAGCAACTGCCCCCAAACCCCTGTGCCACCCACGCTGGCCAGAAATAGCAGAAATAGGGTTAAATAGTCACACAGGGAGGTTGAGAGAGCACCACCATGCCACAACATTCATACCAACACACCATACCATCAAACATTCATACCAATGGGAGGTTCGAACCGAGCCTGCCAAGGAGCCATCTCGTCTGCCCACGTCGGCGAAAGGAGAAAGGCATCACAGGGCCTTAGTTTACATATTCACAACGGCTGACATTACAATTTCAGAGCGAAGAAATCGAATAGGCTACTCAGGAATCTGGTAGAGAACATTTGTTACTTCTCGTAAATATTATTTGAAGCATCTCGTTCAAATGATACTGAAATCGATGAAATCAGCAAAAAGTGCTTGAAAATGATGGAAAAAGGTAAAAAAAATGACATTAGTTGAAATAGACGAGAAATGCAAAACACTATCATATAAAAATGGGTTGTTTCCTTTTGCCATAACATAAAATTAATGTTATTGCTTAATTGAAATGCTTCGTATGACAATTAAGTAATAATGAAAATAACAGTAATTACTTCTATTTTATAAATTAAATTAATGTCTAAAC